CTTTGCAATATGAAAATTTGTAAAATATAAATTTTTTCAACATTCGTTGATCTCAGAATATACCGATAGTTTTTGTTTTGACTCGCCTACAGCGGTGTGACCAAAGGTTGTGCGTCGAGGCTAAAGGACTGCGTGTCGTGGCTAAAGCATTGCGGCTTTTGGCTAAAGGAATGTAGGTCAAGGCTAAAGGAATGTGGGTTTTGGTTAGAGGATTGCCGGTCGAGGCTAAAGGATTGCGTGTTTTGGCTAAAGCTTGATGGGAAAAGGTGTAGTTTATGCTCGTTCGACTCAGTTCTGTGATATCGGTCCAGCGATATCTCTCTCAGATATAAACCACACCATACCACTGTGCTTTTCTGTGATTTACAGCAAATATTTTGCTAATACTCACTCGTGCAAAGTTGTTCATTTTCCTTCCAAGTGTCGGTATTGTGATATCATTGTGAAGGAAATCTTACGCTCCATCCAACAAATCCTAATTGAGTTTTCTACGCTCAATTCTAAGTGTACTGGATATGTATTTGTACAATCCAGTTTTTGCGTCATTTGCACTATCACTCACACGCGCGTCCATTCCACCACGACCAGTTCAGTCGATCGATATTCGCAAGCTAATCTGTGTCTTTGTTCAACGCGTGACTGAGAATGATCACCACATACGTGTGATCGGTCCGGACGTGCACTTTTCATTGCACTTGACCTTTGTCAACTGCTGCCAACCTCGCCGTTCACAGCCAATCCGAAATTGGTCGTCGAAGCATATCCACTAGCGCCGCTCCAGGGGTCACAACAGGACCAGGAGTATGCGGTGAATTGAAGTGTGGAATGGAAGTCAAGACCGGCATCTCCTGCGCAAACTGTATACGATCCTTTCATCCCTCGTGTGCTCAGTTATCGGTAAAACTGGTAAAACTATTAGTCTCAGAGACAGACTAATTCTGGTTCTGTGGGGAAGGCTTCAAGCAGCCCATTATCAAATGCATAACAGATATCACACAGATTCAAAAACCCATTAGCAGCCGTCGAGGACAGGGCAAAAGTACAAATTGCTTCTCTCGAAGATAAGATAATGACCCTCAGTACCCAGATTACTCCCGAAAGCCCAAAGCCAAAACCGTCTAAACGTCCAAGATGTGCTTTATCAAAACAAATCAAGAGGTAGCGCGCATCATTTTCTCTCCAATAGCCACGAGGAAGTTTCGATACCTGTAGTCAAAGTACCGCCACCTAAACGTCAGTCGCAAGCTGCTATACCGTCACAAATGAACAAGAGAGTAGGTGGCAACACTACACTCACGGTAATTTGTACGAATCTCCCAGAACCCACAAGTCACTCATTGAGACAGAGACAACAGGACGAGCTGAGTCACTGGGCAGAGGTATGTGCCCGAATGGCTGTAGAGGCCAAACCGGTGAGCTTCACAAGTCTCTGGCACCAACCGATATCACCGCATATTGGAGAACCCAGGTTACTTCGTGTGACGCTGGCCAGTGAAAAAGACGTTGAAAACGTTCTTCTTTTTAGTTTTCTCGTTGTAGATGGGTCCAGCAATACCAGAGTTTTACCGGACAGACATTGGACCGAGCGTGTACACCGACGGAACGATCCTAACAGTGCATGCGATGCTGATAAATCGTGGGCGATTCTCATACACGGTATTGAATCTGTTTGCCGCCCTCCACACGTTCCACCCCAACAGTCTGTCTAATCACCTCTCCCTCCAGTGTCACTGTCTGACCCGTACGTATTATCGATCATCGGACATGCAGTTTTCGTCCATTCCATCTCTTCACTCGCCTACCACACTTGGTTCCCCCTCTCCTTCTCGTGACCGTTGTCCCTGACCTTGATATGGTCTGACTGACCCTACACTGATTTATCGATCGATCTTGTTGTGTTACCTTCTTACACAACCGACAGAGGTCAGTTACCACCGGGTTCGTTCATTCGTGTATATGATGCACATTCGACTTACGATCACGGACGGATCACTCAAAAAAGACCTTTGTTTACGGAGAACTTAGTTCATTCGGACGGGACGAGGTTTGGAAAGACCTTATCCAATTAGAAACACCTACCATCTTTTGAGGTTCGCAGTGTAGTGCGAGAAGGTATGTTCATACATGCTGTGTTCTAATGGCATGAAAAAAACGCAGAAAACGAGCTTGTTTTCCTAATTCGTGCTCTCATTACCTTTCCTAAATTATCAATTATTTCTCACCATTGTAGAGTGGGCAAAGCTTGTAAGTGTTCTGTCTTCCTCATGTAATCATTTCCTCGCGCTGGGTTTACTTTCCGACCGAATTACTTACTGATATTCACCTTCAAGTGAACAGGAATTGGTATCATTCCAATCAACCCTAAGCTTCGTGTCTTCTCCTTAAACTTCTCTGGATCTCATCAGCAATTTTGCGTTTGTGGGTCATTTCAGTCATTTCAGTTTGCATCCCAAGTGTGCTTTCCAAAAAGTTCAAACAAATTCCTGGGTCTTTAGAAAGCGTTTCATTTTATTGTTGTATGGCTTATGTGCATTTACCTCGTTCTAGAACATCTTGATGGTTTGAAACTTAAGAGGGGATTCTCTCTGGATTTATTAAGGAACCTTAAAACGATCATCACAAACATTTCCATCGCAAGTAAATACATACAACTGATGGGGCATTAACGGTCTCCCAAGGAGTGCCTGATGCCTCTGAATAATCAAATGGGTTAATCCAAGCATGACACCGTAGAACCTAAAACAGATGTACTTATCGTAGGCCGACATGGACTGGGCAATATACTCATTTTTACGCTTCGTGCCACTGAAACGGAAACGAAACCTTGTCCGTTCCTTCGCAGCCCATGCAAGAAACATTTGCACAGAAGACAGCTTAGCACAAGAATTGAAGAATATAAAACTAACACACATACCTAATGGTTACCCGAACGGTTCTTTCAGAAAAACCTATTCGAAACACCCAAGAGACTTCCAATAACAACAGTAAATAAGAAAG